GCGAATTGTTGCAAAATACAGAAAATATAGCCTTGCAAAGTTTGCAAATTTTGTACACTTTTGTATTGCATGCGAAAATTGCAATTATACAAAAGAATACAAAATTTGCAAACTTTGGAAGGCTATATTTTCTACATATTTTACAGCATTTTGCAACCAAACTTTGGAATTTTAGTAATTTTAGTATGCCCTTCCCGGGAATATACTTTTTTTGCTAAGATAAAAAATTAGTCTATAATGGGAATGTCTATTGGTCCCCATTACCTATTTTTCTTTCTCTAAAATAAATAGCTAGAGTTTTTGTTTCTCTAAATAAAGATAAAGAGCTAGAGGGGGGGGGGGCAAAATTTATGTTCTTGTTTTGCCTGTTGGGGGGGGGGCCATGAAAATTTTACTTGTCTTAAGAGGGGGGCAACGAAAAAATATTACAACTCTAGAGTTTCTCCTCAGTCCCCCCCTGTACAATAAATAATGAGCGGTCCCTTATCTGTCTGTGCTATCGGCAGCCTGCTCGCATACGCATTAAATTTCGATATTTCAGTCTGCATGGCCATGCATGGGCGTAGAAAGATCGATAATTGGGGGGGGGGGGGCAGGAGCTCATGTTTATATATTTGTGTTCTGCATCATTTACTTCTTTTGAATTTGATTGTTTTTATAGTCTGCGAACATGAATATATGAATATGAGCCGCCTAAAAATATCGATCTTCCTACAACCATGGCTATACGTATCCGAGCAGGTTCCCGCAGGCTACAAGTAGTTTATGTTTGGTATTGTATTCTATTCTACTTAGGGGCCGATCATTTAACTTTTGAGGGGGATGGGGGGGGGGGTGATTTTGAAAAAACATTTCCTGCAAGGCTATTCTGAACAAAAAACTGCCTGCACTAACAAACTAGGGAAAAATATTCTGCCCCAGTATTTGGTTGGAGAAACTAATGTTGCAAAACAGCATGGTTGCAGGGATGGATTTGACCAGTCCCAGAACATCAGCTGGTTTGATTTTTGGAGACCTAGTGTAAGGTTAATTTCGTGTTGGAAAAATCCTCAAAATGCTGGAAATAGCTTATGCGAGCTTCACAAAATCCAAAATTTTCTGGGGAGGCTTGCACCTTCGGTGGTACGGTCGACTCAGAATCCTAGGTAATATTGGCTTGACCTGCTGCCCTATGGCATATACTTATTAGTTATACCATGCATATATATGCTGGTAGCTGCAGTGATGCAGACTTGCCGACTGGAACTTCTCCAGGTCCCCCGCTAAATATGTCCCCTCCAGTTACACATCCGTAAAGAGGCCCTGAACCAAATCTTATATCTCATAGCAATAGGTATTATTAAAAGCAATGCATGAAGCTAGAAAAATCAACGTTAACTATTATTAATTAAAGAATCTAAATAGTATAAGCTATTGAAGAAAATGCTGCAAAAGAGAGAGAGTGGCAAAAAAATATCGTACATGGTCATGGAATAAGGGAATTTTATCTTGCACATAACGATCCCATATCAAGAAAAAAATTCCCTTCCAGCAGTAAATCTCTCCCCCCCCCCCACATCAAAAGTTAAATGGTCGGCCCCTTACTGGGGTTTCTTCCGCTTTAAGAGATTTAACTCCAGTTATAAAGTGAGGTCATCGGCGAAGGTAAAGTATTTCAATTTCCGAAAATCAAAAGTAATCCAGGTGCAAAACGTTATATTCTTGACTTGCAACCAATTAGACTTGCCACAAGTCGACCATGGGGGAGGGAGGGCGCGGGAGAGGGAGCGCGCGACCCGAGCGACGAAGTCGCGAGTGGTCGACTTGTGTCGCTTGCAGGAATTTAAATCGCATTAAAAATTTTGGCGCGAATAATTTTGACATATTAAAAAGGGTGTCTCTGAAAGGGTGTGTACATTTCATACAATTACTTCACGCGCGCCGTCAATGGGTCTAAAAAACATTCTCAAGAATTGATATTTCTTTGTCCTCGAATGAAACAGTTTGCACCGAGTGTGGAAACGAAATAACTTACCTATTAAAGTAAGCGCCGAAAGCTGTTTTTAAAATTAATGTACGTATCAACAAAAACAAGTGCATGTAAAAACTTATTGAATCTAGACAGTTGTTTTGTCTAACAATGTGTGCCGTAATTGTGTCGACAAGAATAGTAATTTATTAGACTTATTAATTGTTCAGTTCGCGAGCGATTTAACGTAGTAGAAGTTAATCTAATTGAAAAGAATCAGGCAACTGTAACCAAGAAGGAGAGAGGCGGCGATTGTGATTGTGATCAACGAGAAGACATCGCTAGAGTTCAAAATCCAGTATATCCTGTTTTCTCAACAAACGAATTTGTAATAATCAATAATCGAGATCAAGAAACCCAAACTATAAAACCCGAAACCAGTGAGGAACTATTTTAGAATCATCAGATCTCAGATGCATGTATTTTCGGTGACAGTAAAATTAAAGTTTATTTCTACGCCCTGTAGGCTGCATGTACTCATAGTCAATGTAATGTTTGTTTGTGTATTTTCACATGGTTTTTGTGTTCTACAAAATTGTATTTACATTGTTTACTCTGTTTGCTTCAATATTAAATGTTTTTTCAACAAAAAAGCCTGAGAATATAATGTTATTTTTAGACTCCTTCGATAATGATCAATAAATGTAAACCGCTTCGGGCCTTCGGCCTTCAATGTAAACAATGACGTCACCGGTGGATTTTTCCACCGGTGATATTTGGCGCGCTGCAAGTGACAAAAGTCCTTTCCACAGAGGAAGTGAAGCGCGCCATAGAGAGGTCTGGAAAGGACTTTGGAAAGTCTA